TGGGGTTTAGGGGTTAGGGGTTTGGGGTTTGGGGTGTGGGGTTTGGGGTTTAGGGTTTAGGGGTTTGGGGTTTAGGGTTGAGGGTTTGGGGTTTGAGGTTTAGGGGTTTCGGGTTTAGGGGTTTGGGGTTTGGGGGGGATGGCATGGTCGGTTGTTTCGAAGGCTTCGGGGGTTTTTCGAGCTAGCCTTGGTTCGGGGAACTGCCCTGAACCCTAAACCCTAAACCGTAAAACCCTAAACCCTAAACCCTAAACCCTAAACCCTAAACCCTAAACCCTAAACCCTAAACTCCCTCCAATGGCCAGGGCGCTGGAAGCTTGAGGACCAGGTTGTACCGGCCTGTCCGAGGCTTGGGAGTTGAGGGACTTTGGGGCCTTTTGAGGGCTTCGGGCAGTTCCGCGTTTGGGGTTTAGGGTTTCGGTTTTAGGGTTTAGTGTTTAGGGTTTAGGGTTTGAGGTTTAGGATATAGGGTTTAGGGTTTAGGCTTTGGGCTTTAGGGGATTGAAGGGTTTCAGGGGATTTAAGGGTTTTGGGGCGTTGGAGGCTTTTAGGCCTTCAGAAATGAGCCTGATAAGCTTAGCGGCTGCAGGGTTCCAGTGTTCAGCGTGCCCTACACCCTAAACCCTAAACCCTAAACCTAAACCCTAAACCCTGTGATGCTGGCGACCTCCTTACTCCCAGCACCCCACCGCCCTTCTCCTGGAAGCTGTTGTAATCTTAACGTAGTCACGTGGTCCTGTCATATGGACCCTAAACCCTAAACCCTAAACCTATATAATATTTTATATATCTACATCTACCTCCTATACACCCTGCAAAACCCAAGCCTTCACAGAGGGTAGGGGACCATACTCAACGACCACGTAACCTCCCCTACAGTTGGACCCGAAAGAGGTTCGGACTATGAAACCTCAGCCCTGCACTCATTAGGAAGCGGGGTGGGTCGAGAGTCGATGACCCCAAACTACCCTAAACCCTAAACCCTAAACCCCAAACCCTAACCCTAAACCCTAAACCCTAAACCCCAAACCCTAAACCCCTAAACCCCTAAACCCGCGATGCGAGCCTCGGGCTGGTGTTCACGTAGCCAGCCTCGGTATTTCCAGCTCAGGTGAGCTGGTGACCCGTATGATATCTAGGGATTCAAATTCTTGTTAGAGCAGGATACTTAATATTTAGGGATTCTTGATATAATATTTAGGGATTCTTGATATAAGATTTAGGGAATCTTCTGTTAGAGCAGGATACTTGATATTTAGGGACTCTTGAGGGACTTCCTGGAGTTAGAGTTAAGGGGTTTCGAGTTGGAACAACCTAAACCCTGCGTTTGGCGGACTTGGGAGCTTCGAGCCTTAGGGTCTTTAGGGTTTAGGGTTTAGGGTTTGGGGTTTGGGGTTTAGGGTTTAGGGTTTAGGGTTTAGGGTTTAGGGTTTAGGGTTTCGGGTTTCGGGTTTAGGGTTTAGGGTTCAAGCTTAGGGGGTTGGATCTCAATGAAGTGTGTGGGCAGTGGTGAAACACCAAACACCAAGTAAGGGACTCAAGAGGTCTACTCTTGGCTGCGCTTAGGAGGGTAGCGATAAAAATTAAACTTTTAGCTGCCTTACTAGGAAACTCAAAAAACCCAAAAAGGCTAAGGATCTAAAGTTACAGTAGAGCACCACAAAGTATTCGCACAAGGCGTGCTGCAATCCATGGTCAAGTAGCAAGCCATGTCAGGGTCTAAAGTTCACCTCCCGCGGTCATCTTCACCTTACCTGACCCCCACCCCAAAGAAGACAAGCAAAACCCTAAACCCTAAACCCTAAACCCTAAACCCTAAACCCCAAATTTCGCTTTGCCCTGACACCATCGTTGCGGGATGTATTGTGCTTGCCTTGAAGTTCGGGGGGTCTGCTGGGAATGCTTGGATGTGCCTATCCGCAGTACCCAGATCTAAACGTGGTCAGACCAGACACCGTCCCCGTTGCTGAGCCAAAAGACATCTCCCTCTCTCTCTCTCTCTTCCTCTTGCGTTGCGTTCTGTAGGTCTGTAATTGTTTCTCCGTCCTCTCTCACTCTCTATCGGAGGTCAGACATCCACCGTCCATGCTAGCCTAGAGCACCCTGGCTCGACTGGGCGAGACCTGTGACGCAATCTGTTGGGCAGCGGCCCTGCTAAAGGCGTCGGCTACCCGGCTACCCTAAGCCACCACCCTCGCTGATGGCCCCCCAACCCTTGCCAGCGTCCCTTGAAATTGTTCACTCTCTCTCTCTCTCTCTCTCTTTCTCACTGTTGCCCTCTGCGCTCGTCTATCGCCCTTCCGAGCTGTCTTCTTTCCGTCATTCGAATGTTTCAGAGCCCTATTTTCGGGTTTCGGGCTTAAGCTTATGTGACTGACGTGTCCATGATACTACGCTTCAAAAGCTGCACGCCACAGGATTTCGATGCCCCCTTTCATAACATCTGCGCAGAAGGCGTGGTTTGCCCACGGACAGGTTCCTCTTCTTGCCCAAGACTTTG